TCCTCGGTGGTTAGTGAACAAAAACAATATATTTTTTTGAAAAAATCATTCATTTTTTAATCTTTTAATGATGTTTAATGTTAAGGCAACTTCAAAATGAACGGTAATCTGGATTTTATCCAGAATTTGGTGGAGAGACTGAATTCCGGAAATTTTAACGAAGACGTTGGTCAGCAAATTTATTTTGAATACTTTTTTGCCTTAAGATACAAGCGATTAAATGGAATTTCTAAATTTTAGAGATAGTGATCGCTCCACCTTCATTATATCTTGATCAGACTCGTAAGTTGGCCCGCAAGGAAATTGGTGTAGCTGCTCAAAATGCATACAATGCCTCGAGTGGAGCTTATACTGGCGAGATTAGGTATAGAATTTTTTTTTTTTAATTTCTTCTTGGTATAAATTATCATTACATTTATTATATTAATGAATATGGTCAACCATCTAGTCCCGAAATGCTAAAAGACATTGATGTTCATTGGGTAATCTTGGGTCACTCTGAACGGCGAGAGATCTTTAAAGAATCTGATGATGTATATATTTTTAATTATCCTCTTTGATGTGCTGTTAAATACTCCACCGCGAATATTTTAGAATCTCCTTGTTTTATAGTTCGTCGCCACCAAAATTGCACATGCCTTGAAAGTGGGAGTGAAAGTTATTGCCTGTATTGGAGAGAAGCTTGAAGAACGAGAGAAAGGGACCACATTTGATGTTATAACAAGGCAACTTACTGCAATTTCCAATAAGATCTCTGATTGGACAAATGTCGTAATTGCGTACGAACCTGTTTGGGCTATAGGTACAGGAAAGGTGGCAACACCTCAACAGGTACGAAATATCGTTATTTGTTTATTTGGAATATCTGTTTTGGCATTCAATCGGAATTTTCTGTCTAGGCTCAAGAGGTTCATGAATTTATTCGAAAATGGCTAAAAGAAAATGTGTCGGAAGAAACAGCTCAAAATACACGTGTCATTTATGGAGGTAAGTTAATGACACTTGATTCAGTATTTAAATCATGTGACTTGTTGATAACCATATTTTTCTTTTAGGATCTGTGAATGCCGGAAACGCATCAGAACTTGGTAAGTTTGAAAATAAATTATCGTGTGTTTCAATCCAGAAATTCGTTAATCGCAACTTCTATTTGATTGCACAGCAAAACAATCGGATGTCGATGGATTCCTTGTAGGCGGAGCCTCCTTGAAGCCAGAATTTGTTACTATAATTAATTGTCGCATGTAAATTGGAATATTTTTTTACGAAGAATAATGCGCCATTGGCTTTTTATAGGGGATAGGGTCATTCTAGACGAGTAAACAACAGTAATTTATTTCTTGTGATAATAAGATTACCCTAATAAATAAGGAACATTATCATAAACACTCGTGAAAATAATTCTACCAATTTGACGTAAATATTTAAAATTTATAGGAAATTCAATCTGTTATTCGGTTGCGGATAGAAAGTTACGCTCGTTTCATCGCTTACTAATGTCAATCCAAAGACCGCCACATACGCACGATCTAGTGTAACTCTTTGCCCAATGGGCACCTTGTATGTCCCGTAATGCAGAATGGTGTCCACACCTTAAACGAATGTATCTTGTTAATAAATGAAAAATAAATATATGATATACCAATACCTACCGAACACATGCTCTATCCATAATTGTACGTGACTTAAGGACAATATCGATCGAATCGGATTCGATCCACTTTGTATCATATACGTATAGCTTTACTTTGTTGACGACGCTAAAGGACGTTTTGAAAATCTGTTCTATTTCCTTTAGGGTTCCGTGCAATGAAGTTTGTAGAACAGAACGAAGGATCATTCTGTAAATAGTTTTCTGACGATCAGCTGAATGAAGTAGATGAAATGCCATTAGTAAATTGCGCGACGAGCAGTGCACGAATGGATACTAAATCTTACCTTGCATCGTTTTCTCGATGACAGCACTAGAATCTTTAATAAATGATTCCAACGATTCCAATTTCAATGGCCACTTTTCAAAAGAGTAATTTAGTGAACGATGTATATCTTGGATGGAGGAATCGGAAGAATTTTCGATGTAATCCTTGAATTTTCCAACAAGTGAAAGAAGATTTTTCAGTGCCGAACGACTTATAGAATGATAAAGGAGGACAATGTGTGACTTTTCCGTGGCTTGAAAGTTTAAGATAAAAATTACAAATCGAGTTAACACATAATTATTTAACAATTATAGTGTCAGTAATATGTATAATAAGTAAAGATTCAAGTCTAAATACAAATTTCGTATTACCCAAGACACGCCCTTTTTTCGTTGTGGAATATAACAAGTAGATATTACGAATGAAATAAACGAAAAAGTCCAAAATCCATGATGTGAGGGACGCGAGCGATCGGAGTGAATCTATGATGAAAAATTTTGATTTAATTTTTTTTTTCAGCAACTTGTGGTGACAGAAGGAATCAACTCACCGTCAACAAAAGTATCGTCAGGAGTGATACTATTCTTGAACGTGATCTCCAAAGCACGCAGATGCAAAACACACAATGTATTTAGATAAGTGATGTTATCGCAACCGCAAGATTTTAGTAGAGAAAGTTGCAATCCAAATAGTCTAATCAAAAAATCCGATGAGGATGAGGTCTCAAATCCATTAGGAAAAACACTTGAGATATTAGAAAATGTCTCTTCGAGGGTAATTTCTAATAAGTCTAGTGAAAGGTAATATTGATAAAGATAAGAAAATCGTGAATTCGTTTCATTTTTTTTCCTCGAATGGCCATGTCGTTGATAGAAATTAGATATAACCTTTTTTCTCTTCCGATAATATTGAAAGTTTTTTCATAATGTTTTCTAGATCGGTATGATCCATGCTATTAAGTATGCACAAGGTTAATTTATCGGCGCAAGCTCGGCTTCCTTGCATACTATCTGTGAAATTTTAATAAATTAAGTTGACATAATACGCACAGCTGACGTGTAAATGTGCAATAAATAAATAAATAAATGAAATGTTCACCCATCAGATCAACTTTGGTCAAATTTATATCAGCCATATCAAGACAGTCGAGTTTGCCGGAATATCTTCCACAAAGTAATAAAGTGCCATTTGGTGATGTGGCAAATTCCGCGATGGCTAACGATCAATGTGAATAAGTACGTAAAATGCTGTAACTTGAAAACTCTCTGATTGACACACCAGTGACTACCATTCACGGTTGCAAAAACACCATCATTCTGATCATGATAACTCGAAGGTATCCAAGTATTATAGGTAGGAAATCTGCTATCCACAAACAATTTGATTCCATTTTGACCTGCTTGATTAAGTGTTTGCAGTGTTGTGCTGGAGAATCAAACCGACAAAATTATTATAATCACATCCGAAATAAAAATTGATACCACAACAATATTCTACACCAATCTCATTACCAATCACGGAATTGAATCAGACCATTACTGAAACCCACAAAAAGTTCCTGCTTATACGCCCAGAGGTTTGTAACCAACTTTTTGGGTATATGTGCGCCCGCCATAAATCGTAAACTCTGATAAAAAAGTTACGCTTGGTCAATATACCTCCGAGACAATGACGATAGGCAAGCTTTTGAAACAGATACCGTTGAAGGTTCGTCAATTTGAATTTCATTTTTATCTTGCATCGAGGAACCTTCCACCACGGTCCCCTGTGAATTCACAAGCTCCCACATGGCCATGTTACTATTAAATGTCAATGAATCCCCATCAACTTTGGAGAACAATAATGATATTTAATTATCCAATATTTGGTATTTTTGTCTTGTAATTAAAAAACAATGGTTCGCTTACTAACCAAGCCTTTCCACAGCAACAATTATCAACCTAATTCCATGACTCTTTGAGCTCGGTAGCAATTTTAGGTGTAATACTGGAGCTCGACCGATGCTGAACGATGGATCGTTAATTTGAGCCGTAAGATGAATGCTCGAGATCGGTCGACAATGGACTTGAGATCTTAGTATGTCAATAGAAATCTCATGAAACATCACAACCCTTGGGCAAGACTCTTGGATGTATGTCGCCAGAATATAGCGACCATCTAATCAATTCGTTTTAATTAGTGTCTTCAAACTTTGTCATATGTAGCAACAGTATAGCTTTAGTAGATCTCTTTTACCATTATTGATTATTATGTCTGCATGTGATATGCGGCCATGAGTGTATTGTAACGAGCCATTTATCTTGGAAAATTGTTTATTGCCTTTTTGATACCAAACATTGACCTGAATTTTTAAATCGAAATTAGAATAGCAACCAATTATCCAGATGCAAATATTGTTTGATTGTTTACCTTTCCATACGATGTAATCGTGATGAATGCAAACTCTCCGAATTGATTTCGTGGGCCCTTGAATTCACCACGCTTATATAAAGTAGGACCGGAAGAACGTGATTCGGTTACACGCGAATACTATAAATTAAGATGGCCATCAAATAAAGGAATTTCTTTCGCAAACGAACATTTCTATTATATAACGTTTTATATGTCCGCGTTTTCAACTACTTCACGTATCTTTCAAAAACTCTAGTGCCAACTTTAAAGGGACACTAACCATCCTAACGCAATCGATCCACGAGAATATGATAATGCCTTCTCCAAGGTCAATATCACAAATGCACTTCCAATGGTTAACGAAATTGTTCATCATCCATATTGCAATTTTTCCCCTTTGATCCACGGAAGCTAGTATGGACCCAGTTTGATTCCAGACCAAATCTGTGATAACACTACCGGGGTGATGTTTAATCTCAACTCCGTCGAGAAGAAATAAATTATTCTTATTAACGAAAGACCAAGCCAATCCGGATGTATCGGTCGAGGGAAGTCGACAAGGACTAAATATGCCAATGTTTGGAAAGGTGCAATTGAAATGAGAGTTCAGTGCGTCGCTTGTCTGGATCGCCCACGCTATCATGTTTTGGGATGACCAGGAAACTCGCCTATTATCAAAATTGTTTTAGATAAAAAATTATTGACACTCGAATATTTCAAACTCTCGAATATATATCTATTCGAATATTCACCTGGGGGCTTTCCGATAACAGAGTTCATAATATATCTTATCAGCCTCGAATTCCTGAGTGGACCACGTCGCTAAAGTTGTCTCAACTGCTGCCATGAAAGTTACAGTCGCGATTCAATAGCATTTTCGAAATTCTAGATCGTTTCGGATGTATTTATATTTGTAGAAGGATCAGCAGAGTCGCAGTACATTCAGATTAGCCAATTACACGTGTGCAATAAACTATTAAGTAATTGCTACTTCTCGGTTAATTTATATTTGATAACAATAATAATATATTTTTTTATTAATCAATTAATTATTAATTATTTGAAAATTATTGCATTAACCCCAAGTTATCCAAGTTATCAAAGTTATCAGATGGTGGACGTGCACCACTTTAAATAAATAAACATATATAAAAGAAAATTATTGTGTTGAAAAATTGACATTAAATTTCGATACTTGTATATATATTTGATATACTGTATTTAAATTATGTCAGTTTGGAATTTGCAATAATAAAATCTTCAAACTGAAATAATAGATTCAAAGATCGATGATGAATATGAAGGTCTAATATACAGTAAGCTTGCGCATGGTGAATATTCAAATAAAATTGGTTGATTGCAATTTTTATGATTCACATCATCTAAAACCTCGATTTTGCATTTTCTTATATAAATCCATAAAAAAAAATAATTGGTTATGCGTTATTTGATTTTTTCATCATCTGTTATGATTTAAATAAATACTTAATTCATTTTTTGTAAACTATTATCATCATTTTAAAATTCATAAAGCAATGATAAAAATGTTAGATACATTGCATTTGAAAAAGATATACTGTACATAGATGCAAATATTAAAGATGTGCAATATGGCATATACAGTAAGTATATAAGATCATCAAATTGACTTTTGTAAACTACTGTATGCATAGCATTTGAAACAAATTTTTTTCATTGATAAAAAATTTGAAAATGTTTGGCACAACATTCGACGACCACAAAAAGAACTCTTTGTTAAATTCTCTCGATTGCAAAAAATGCCGAGAAACTAAACTCTTTGTGAATATGATTTCGCGTATTGCATTCGCCACTATGGGCGGAGCAACATTTTATTTTTCAATCGTTACCGCTATACGCGAGATCAATGGTGAAAATAAGGTGTATATTGTTGATGCGTTATATTGGATTTATGTGATAGAACGGTTTAGACACACTTATGATTTCATTTGTGATAAACTTTTCGGTGGACGCGCGAAAGCGTAACTTTGTATCACGTAACGTCGTTCAAAGCGTTGATCATTTCCGTGCATGCTTTATATCGGCACCATAGTGAACGTTGGATGTTCAGGTATCCACCATGCTTCTTCAAGTGGTCATATTCTCGAGTCTCTTTTTATATTTGAGTATATCGAAAAGATTTTACAATTTTGATTTCACAAAGCATCTGAGTACCAAAAACCTTTATCCGATAGAATCCGATACAGCACCATCTGCGGACGTGCCGGAATCCTGCGGATTGGTGCAATTACATTTGGTTGCCCGACATGGTATGCTCTCGGAGTGAAAATGGTTTTCGAAATGTTTACGGCAATATCAAATGATAACATTCTTAGGTGCAAGAAATCCCTCGATTGATGACGTTAAGGAACTCGATGTCCTGGATACACTTTTTGCTAACGTCCCTATAGTGAAGGATTGGGTAAAAAAAAATAGGAACCCTTACGTATCTAACTAGCCTATTTTATTGTGGTTGATCAAACCTTCAATTTCTTATATAGCGGAATCCATTCAGTCAATCCCAGGCCTCACTCCTCACGCAACGTGGTGAGCACGAACTCTACCTATTGGGTAAACGGTCACGTAAGCGGCACCCTAAATTCTGGGGTAACATTACGTACAATCCAAACGTCATAGAATTCCGGAGTTCAGAACGCTCCAGGTAGTGATTTTATAAATTGCTAAAAACATGTAACCAGTTAATTCGAGTGAATTTCTTGTAGATGAAACAATGAAACAAACGCGGTTTTATAATCATATCATCAGATCAGGACAGTCAGGAATTGCCTATTCTTTGGGTCTGTTTGAAGGTTATGGGAAGTTGGGCGAATCGATGTTGCAACCAGTCTATATACACACCACACCAGCGGTATGTGGATTATGCAATCACGTATTTTTTGGTGATTTTTATTACTCACATTTGATTCTCGGTCAATTAAGAGCCAAGATAAAGAGTTGTTGACGCACCACATCTGCCCCTTATGGGTCAACACGATTAAATATAGTCCAGCTTTCGAGAAACAGAAGAAAATCTTTCTTCATACTTATTTATCTAAAATTGCTGAAAGACTTAGCAATCGATTTGGAATGAGACCGCCATTGAAACCAATTCACGTGGACTATATTTATCGCGCTTGCTCTTACGCCGTATCATATTCCGGTAGCACCGACACGTGGTGCAGTTTGCTAGAGGAAGATGATTTTTTAAAATTGGAATATTTTCATGATATGGAGAAATACTACACTTTTTCCTACGGTTCTCCACTCAACACCAAATTGGCTTGCAAATTATATACTAGTCTGGTGAAATCGGTGGACACCTTTTTGGAAGGGAAATCTTCACTGAAAAGTGTCTTGAAGTTTGCACATGCCGAAACAATAATATTCGTAACGACAATGCTGGTAGATAGAGATATATATTTTTCATATAATTGACAGGCTTTTATAGTATTCAAAAATCATTTTCTTCTTCGTTTAGGGTTTATACAAAGACGATTACCCTCTCGAAGCCGACAGGTTCTACCAATCTAAATCTAGAGAGTTTCGGACTAGCAACATTGCACCATTCGCGTCTAACGTTTATTTTGAGATCTATAATTGCACGAATAAATATGAAACCACGATCTATGTTCAGATGCTAGTCAATGAAAAACCTGTTGTCATACCAGGATGCGGTTACACGTTTTGCCTATGGGATAGGTTCAAACAATTGTTAGGAAACAATATCGATTGTGACTTTGATAGAATATGTCAATCATAATATTTGGTGATCTTTGTTTTTTTGTAAAGTAATATTTAATAACGCATAGAATAGATCAAGCATTATGTACCCCCGCGGTATATATGACACACAACCCTTTCTATGTAAAATATAATGTACAATATTTATATAGTATGTGATTGCAATAGTTTACAAACTCTTCACGATAGTCCGTTTGTCACCCCAGGATGATCGGTTTTCTGTATAATTGAGTTCAACAGTGAATTTCCATTGATGATTTGGGTTGTGGCAATGACAAATTCGCGATGACCTGAAAAGAGTTACAAACAATTAGTTTTATGTTAAAAAAGATGTGATAATCTCGAATAAAGATCCAACATACTTTCATCTTGTTGTGCTAAAAAGCGTATCGCCGAAATTTCGGTATAGGTGCACCCGCCCAAGAAAAATATGAGAGTAACGTGTGGTTGTTGTCCTGGTATCAATCCTAAATAACATATCAAGTTAGGACGAGTTAATTAATCGTGAATGCCTTAATTGTTGACTTACTCTTAGGACGAATGGCGCCGTCTTCCAACCGTTGAACCTCATCAAAAGTTTTACCCGGAATCGTTCTTAATACATCCTCGTATCCTTTCCAACCATTACCTCTTATACCGCTTGCATTGGTTACCGCTCCGGTTGCGCCTCCGCCAACGTTGGAAATACTAATCGAAGATGGCCCACTTTTGGTGGCCACACATTGTAACAACCGCACACTCAGAGGTGCATAACCTGAGTATACATACGAAACATCTTGAGGATTGTGTTCGTCCACTTCATCCACAATTAATCGAAGTGACTTGCGAATGTAGGCATATTGATTACGGTTTGAAACTTGCTTTACAAACATGTTGAGTTTCTCGAGATTCGAGAGCGTTTGAAGATGTTCGAAACCATAGGTCTGAGTGTTTGCGAGAAATTTAGATCAGTTGAAATTTTGGTGACAAAATTTACCTCATCATCAATTGAAATTTACCTGCAGGATTTCTTTTTTGAAAAATTCGAAATTCTTTTGCTTCAACCCACCGTTCACAAGACTCTGAAGACACAGTAGTCGTAGGACTTGGACAAGCGGAACTTGTCGGTTAATCATTTCTTCTATGTACTCGTTCTGCGTATTTATGTCAATGCCCGCGACTAAATCTAAAAGAGAAAGAGTGACAAAGGGATTTCAGAATCTCGGTGGATGATAACGTTCGATCATAAGTAAACGATGGTTAATAAACTCCCGTACTTTGTTGCACCTCCAGGGCCTTGTTAAATTCGGGCGTAACGGTAACCGCCACTATCTCTTCGGCAATGCCCGTATCTGAACAATTCGTTGAGGATAAGAATTTCGCGAATTATGCAAATTATTCGAAATATAAAAGTTCAATCAAAGGGATACGGGTCCTTAAGGATTGATGTTCTGATTGCAATCCTCCCAATTTGTTAATAAACTCTCGGATCTGGGCCACAGTCTTGGCTTGATGCCTTACCTAATTATAAAACACATTTTAATCGTTTAAATGTTACATTCCAATCCCTCTCACATAAACCGGATGAAGAAATTATATGTGCCTCATAATCATCGTTGATCCTTTTGGCGACACTACTGAGGACACCACCGACAACAGCAAAATTCATGTCTCTCAATCGAGCAAATAATTTATCACCCGAATTGAGACCAATCTTCTTCTTCTTTGCCAGAGGTTGAGGCGGCATTGGGGGCTGAGAAGAGGTGGCCGTTGATGTGGATGTTGCGGCACCTGCGGTCACCGTAGGTTTTTGTGGTGCGGGTCCTACAATCGATGAATCGACCTCCACGTGTGAAGCTCGAATACTGAATACTTCATCTATCAACCCTTCGTATGTTAATTGAGTGCAAAGAGGAGTAATAAGATCGACGGATCGATCAATAATGATGAGGGAATCTATATTCTGAGACACTGACATCGTCGAGGACGGATCGTCAACAGCTACCTCGCGTCTCATGCGTAAGAGCATGTCAGCAAGTTGCTGCGTAAAAAAAACAATATATTATTCGTCCTGAAAAAAAAATGTGTTTTGGACTATTTTTTTTTTTCATACCTTTGCACAATCCCCTTTTCCTATTACCCTTGGGAATAGTCCAAATAATGTTTGTAGCCTCATAAGTGCTCTCGCAGCATAGTAAATCGAGGTATAATCCCCATCCTATGGTGATCCAATAAACAACATAATAATATGTGTGGTCAAGTTTGGCGTCACGTTTCAATGCATTTTTTTTCATCAAAAGGTTGTGAATACCAGATATAGTTCTTTAAAGGTATTGTCCAATTCCAAAGACAAGAGGTCATCCTCGAAAGGAATTAGATCGAGATGATATTCTCCAATGGTGATATGTGAACAGTATTAGTCAAGAAAATAATTTGAAAGGTGGATTTGATAGCTGATCACCGAGTGGTTATGTTTCGAATATGAATATAAAGGATATCTCCAAATACTCCGGATTCCTCTAAAACTTTTTGACAAATCCTGGTCCGCCGTGGGACAAAAAAGAGGCTGTACTCGTATCTTGTGGTGTTTGGGCTGGATAATTGTTCATTCTGATGACATTGAATGTGCTCTAAAGACCCGTGATAGCATTATTACACATATTTTGGCTCAATTGCTTTCGACAAATTCTATTTTTTAATACCTGCGATGTATTTCATGTATTGCAACTGCGGCCGACATATGTAGATCAAACTAGTAAGTTCGGTTTCCAACGGTCCTTGTTGAAGGTAATGAATTTTTTCGACGCCGTGGTCCTTTGCATCGATCAATTAAAGGTTTGAATCGAAATTTTAACTCGAGAAACATGGAAAGATCGCAAGGGAACATAGATACCCTTAGTAATGAGAATTCGGCGATAAGGCTCAGGGGTCCACTGATGTTGGGGTCCAGTACCAAACATTTTTTTCCTCTTACCTACACAAAAGTTATTCGTTAAATCGCAAGAATTCTTATATCGATTACTCGGGAGGCATTGAATGCAAGGATAAAAAAGAATTCATACCGAATCGAGAACAGTTGTCAACTCCTTTCTTGCCAACTCTCTCAAAGTGACGACGTTTAAAGTGGAGCTTGAAGTACCCAGGTGAGACATATTCCCCAGCCTTGGACTATTCGAAGAATGTTGTGGTAAAGGAGTCTCGGACGGATTGCTGTGTGACCAAATGATATGGATTTGATCAACGAATCATCTGCAGTACGCACATATGTATCACGTACGTGCACTTTGCAAATTTTTCCAAAAAATGTTTTCAACATATCGCCAATTGGAAAAGCGTACTGGCAAATCTGGTACTTCAAGGTATATAATCTTGCCTCTCAGATCATCAATGATGGTAGGGCAATTCATAATTTCCTTAATCTCGTAGACCCGACTACCTCCAGGAACTCGTAAACGAATATCAAAACACAAGCGATCAAGGTATGATGATGAATTTCTCTTTGCAACAAAAATTCCGATAATCAAACTCGATCAATCGATTTTAGAAGCCAAGTATCAGGTTCTCGCTAATCTGGCCAACTTTGCATATGATCCGATAAATTACGATTGGCTTTGGGAACTAAACGTTGTCGATCTGTTCCTCGGTCCGTATGAATTGAATTATATAAATATATATATATTATTAGAAATTCTTTGATAATAACATTTTTGCAGACACATTGACCGAGCCGGATGAAAAGATTAAGGAATTTGGCTTGGGCGGACTATGCAACCTATGTCTAGGTTTCCGCTCATTTCTTTATTTTTACACGTGGTCCTCTACATGCAGTTACTCACGTGATAAACGCACATTTGAATTTAGAAAAGCGCAATAAAGAACACATTTTAAACAACGAGGGCATTCCGCTGGTGATCGACTGTATATTCAACGAAAAAGAGGACATCATACTTTCGGCGATCACCACTTTGATGTTTTTAATTTCCTCAGACGATGACGAAAAAGGTGGTGAACATCGCCTTATCGCTACATGTGTGGACAGTCTCAATTAATCTAACGCCCGTCTCTTTCTTTAGGTGCTTTATCTGATTCGGTCAGAAAACGCATGGAGCATCTGTCTCGCTCTGACAATGTTCGATTGAAAAATCTTGCAACCATATTCCTGAGAGATTATTTTCCAAAAACCAATTGACACCATTATTGTGAATTTACCTTATCGTCACCATACGTACGCAACCTACATGCGTATGGTTGTATTTTATTTTAAAAATTTAACGATGAACAAATAAAAAAATTTTTTTTTTTTTGGACAGCAAACTATCTACCTATATGCGTTGGGATCTCGTGTCATTCGAGAATTGTGTTTCACAATGCCTGTTTTGGTTATTTCAAAAACTGGCAATATTTGATGATTACGTAAATAATATAAATACGTGTCGAATAGCTCGTAATCTGATGTTGTGTAATATGGGTAGCTCAAAAGTGCTCCTTCAACTCAAAAAAACGGCATTTCGAAATGGAATCGGAATATTAGGTAGTTGGTCGATAAATATCTGAATTTCGGATTTTAAGCAAGGTCATTCATTCATGAGAGCATCGAATTCTCGTAGCGTCGAATGCACGTCGTTATTCGCAAGCGCCGAGACTGCCAAAACCGTTGGAGGGGATTCGCGTTCTGGAATTGGGACAGGTATCATACGGTTTCGTGGATTTTACAAAATTCTTGAGGGGTCGAATCTCCGATGATTATTGAGTATGATTATTTATTTGATCCCTGAACAAAGTTGATCGCCGGTCCATTCTGCGGAACAATCCTTGGGTATTTTAGAGCAACTTATGTTTTGCGATATCATTAAGATTCATCGAGCAATTGCGCTAATGTACGGCATAAAAAAACAAAAATTTATTTTTTCAAAGGTATTATGGTGCAGAAGTGGTAAAAGATCTGATATAACATTTTAATGACCCGGGAGTATGGCGCTCGAGGGAATCAAGAATTTTATGCCTATGGTTTTTTTTCATTCAGATAAAGGTAGAACCACCCGAGGTAGGTGATCCCATTCGTGTCTGGCGTAAAATCGATGTCGACGGAACCAGCCCCTGGTTTCGTTCAATCGGCAGAAATAAGAAATCATGCGAGATCAATCTACGAACAGAAGAAGGACGAGCGTAAGTCGAAACAGCTGTGACATCAATCTAGTCGTGCGTGTGTCTCGCTCATGTGTTAATCACGGATTTCCAGACTTGCTCGAAAATTAGCTGACAAGAGCGACGTCTTGGTTGAGAATTTCCGTCCCGGAGTCATGGAAAAATGGGGACTCGGGCCAGGTAAGATTTGGTCGATTACATGAACTTTGGGCTCTTGTCATCCCCCCTCGCTGACAACCAATATGCTCCACGCCTTTATAGAAGAACTATATAAAACCAATCCCTCATTGATATACACGCGTGTCTCCGGGTTCGGGCAAACGGGTCCTTATGCGAAGAAGCCCGGTTTCGCATCGGTTTGCGAGGTGAGCTGAAAATTCGACGCTGACAAACTTTTTAACAAGAAATTTACGAGTTGATGTTTTAAAGGCGATGGCAGGGTGGCGATATATCAACGGATTTCCGGATCAGCCGCCGGTACGTCAGAATATATCCTTGGGTGATTCTTTGGCCGGACTAACCGCGGCCTTTGGTACCGTTCTAAGTCTTTTGGCAAGAAACAAAATCGCTGGATCCGGGCAAGTCGTTGATGTAGCCATTTACGAGAGTATATTTAACATGATGGAAGGGGTATTACCAGAATACGATCGATTCGGAGAAGTATGTTTTATTAATTGACCTTAGAGTTTGCGTGTGTATAATGATTCGTCAACAATGATGCAAAATCTTTGCAGATAAGGCAACCTTCCGGTACATCTGTAACGGGTATCGTGCCCACGAATGCATATCCTTGTTCCGATTCCAAGTACGTAATCATAGGTGGAAACACTGATTCTCTGTATAAAAGGTTGATGAAAGTTGCCGAGAGAGAGGACCTTATCACCGAAAAGTACGAGACTAATAAAGAACGCGTTCAACATAAGGACCTGATTGATAACGCAATCTCGGATTGGACAAGAAAACACACTTCTGAAGAGGTGATCGAGAAATTAGAGAAGGAAGGCGTCCCTTGTGGTCCAATATATAACATCAAAGATATTGTTGAAGACAAACACGTTCAATCACGTAACATTCTCGAAACCGTTAGAGTAGGTGAAAACAGGGACGACGGTGGCTGGGATTTAAAGGTAGGAATACACTTTACGTTTACAATAAATGACAGATTCTAATTTTTTGGAATTCAATAAGATCCCCGCCATTACGCCGATACTCAGCGAAACACCTGGTGAAACGACATGGGCTGGTCCGGATGTGGGACAACATAACCGGGAGATTCTGATGGGTATTCTTGAGATGAGCGAGGGCGAAATTAGGGAATTGCAAGAATCCGGAATTATCGGTAAAACCTTATGAAACAAAATTACGATCGACCGCTATAACATAGAAAGTGACCTTTCTAATTGGTCAGTTTATTTTTTTTAAAAAAAATAATTAAATCAACTTAATACGTATATGCTACGTTATTTTACTTCTTGAAGGAAATACGACTTCTAGTTTTTCAATATTTATTTATTCTCATCCATTTCCTTCCATATTTTCTCGATTTTCTTTCGTCGTTCTCTTGCCTCTTCCGCATTCTTTCGCCTTTTAATGTTATGCTTTTGATTGATCGATAAAAGATTCATGCAATTACCCAATTTAAATAGTCGATAGAAGTCACAAAGATGAATGATAAGAGATTAGATACATGCATCCACATGATAAAACGTGTGTGTGTGATAATTCTTTCGTCAAGTATGAAGAATGCAAACCTCCTCGAGTAAGCATTCGTCGAGTTCTCGTTTAATGCTATTGCAGCCACCAAAGAATCGGTTAAAAAATCCAGATCGATGGCATTCTTCGAGGCGAAGAATAACATCAAGACATTCTACGGAAAGGTAGCGGAAAAAATGAGAACGTGACGTACAAATACCTTTAATGCACTTAAAACGTACTTGGATGCTCGTGATAGGCTAGGTGGGGATGCATGGTTTACAGTGGTGACAAATTCGCTTTATTGATTTTAAGAGCCTATCATCAATCCGTCATTTTATAAATTAGCACTGTATACATAATTACATAATCAAATTTCCAGATTTGTTTGTTTATAATCCGCAAATAAACAAACAGCGATAATGCATGTTCATCTAGAATTTCGACAGAAAAAAAAATTTTTTTTTCAAATACGTAGTACGTATGTGTGAACACACAAATTTTACTTCTTGAACAATGTCAACAGGAATGAGCGAGAACGGGACGCTTTCAAATGTGTGGGACACTAAACTACAACAATTCCACGGAGGACAGGATTGGAACCATTTGGATAATTTTATCGAAGATTTTTCAGTCACCACGAATGCCTTAGGAACACCGAAAGCCGCGTTGGAAGCATCTAGGGAAGCTGTCAGTAACTTTCAATCGTCTCAATCATCCAGTTAAACTCAAGGTCTTAACACAATCTCGACTTCTCTAGTGCTTTCTTTGCCATCATTATCCACCGGCAGACCAGGAGCCCGCAAAAACTTCCCTCGCTCAATTTCTTTGGCCTGATGATTATCTAAAGCACAAGGACCGATTACTCCTCGGAAATGGCGCAAGTGAACTGATTGATTTGGCGATACGTTCTGCTCCGAGCGGTCCTTGGAAACCGGGTCCTTGGGATACCCAAGTAGGTTTCTCCAATATGTCGCATTCGTTAAATTATAAAACAAACTTCGATCGTACCCTTCCTGTATCTGAACCAGTACAAAGAATATCAAAGATCGGCAGAAGCTAACAATAGAACGGCCCTTCCTTCCAAAGACACCAATCGAGCCACCCTTCTATGCATCGTAAACCCCTGTAACCCTACTGGGGATTACTTCACTGTTGAAGAATTAAAACGATGGATCATCGATAATGTTGAAGATGGAGGTGTCGTCCTTGTTGGTATGGATTTTTTCTTTACCAAGTTCATTTTAGACATTTTTCAGCACAACGATATACAAATTTCCCCTCATTTGCCAATTCCTCCATAGATGAATCAATGCAACCTTGGCAGTTGTCCGAGTTTCGATCCGATTCTCTCATTTCTCAACACGAATTTCTTGCCTCAATTTACCGGGAAAGCAATGTTTCAGTTTATGTTATACATTCGTGGACGAAGATTTGGTCATGTGCGGGTTTACGCGTAGGGTCCGTCGTGTGTCCCACGGCTCAGCATTGTGATGCATTAAAAAGGATACAGGTCCCTTGGAGCGTTAATGGTCCAGCGCTGGCGTTTTTGGATACAGTTGTCAAGGATCATGAGTATATGGAACGAACATGGGAAGTCACAACGCGATGGCGTGCCGAACTTATTGATAGGCTAATGTCTCTTTCGAAAGCCATCGTTGATTCTCATAATGACGAAAGATTAGCCTGGAAATTCCATGGTAAAAAGTTTTTGTCGTGGGTATGGATCGACATGAAGACCATTGAAATCGCCGAAGAAGCTGTGGCCAAAGCCAAAGCCGCGGGTGTACCTGTGAGGAGCGGAAATCCGGGTTATGACCGACCAACCTTTGTGCGAGTGGCGGTTAGAGAACCTTCTAAAGTGGACTTTTTAATCCAAGCATGGAAGACATTAGGAATTCGATAATTGATAATTCCCTATTCACAATCACTCCTCTATTTTTTAAAAAAAATTTTCGTTAAAAAATTATAATAGACGATTACATATTTAAAATATTTATAATTAATATTATATTTACAATAAATTATTAAGTCACGTGTTAGAGTTGATCACCGATAAAAATAAGATTATCATCAAATTTTTTCAGAAAATTAACTACATCATCAATGCTTCGTTCTCTTAGAGTTATAACAACAACCTTGACTTCGAAACAACAGTTTCGTTATTACACAGCTTCAAGTATACCTGGCGATGTTCCACAGAATAATGCCACAGAACAAAATCTTACGCATGAAGAAATCGATTCTCCAAAAGAGGATTTAACTCCCGAGAAGTCACCTTCGGAAAACACTCAAGAAAATTCCAGCCCTGAACCAACAACACCGAAAATGTCCTTTGCAGAAAGGGCAAAGGCAGGATTCCCGAAACAGCCTTCGGAAACGACAAAGGTGGGATTGGGATTTTCAAAGCGTGCTCAGCCCTCGGAGCTTGCAAAGAATTGGGCGAAACCGCCAGAAAAATTGCAAATGTTTGTTCCACCAGGTTTGAGATAGCTTGCTTACATTCGAAAAGACATACAGTTCGATAAAATATACTAAAGTTTTATATATAATAAATCTTCTTTTTATTGATAAGTATTATTCTCTTTTTTAAGTGGATTTAGGGCCTATTGGTATCGCCAGTAAGTTTGTTGAAATAAGAAACCTTCCCCTTACGGCTATTCCTCGTGATATACAAATGATGTCAGCTGATATTCCTATTGCTGAAAGTAAGATGAAATATTCTTAATTATTAGGTTTATTCATGCATTTTAGTAACTCACGAAATTTTTTAGTTGCACCTATTCGAAATGGCTACCTTCAGCTTACTGGTTCGTATGAATTGAAATTTCAAAGTGAAAAAGATGCTCTCAAGTTCGTCGAGTCAAATTTGCAAAAATATTTGGGAGGAAATAAGTTGGAATTTAAATTTCTTGCACGTATATAATCATGCTTATTGTTATATTCTGTAAGTTTTAATTATTAAACTTTGTATTAAATCATTTTTAGCCTAAAAATCACGAAATCAAACCGAGAATGCCTTATAACCATATGAGAGATTCCGGCAATAGCATTATTGTTTGTGGTTTGCCAAGAAACATTTCTCCCGATCAAATTCGAGAATTGATCACCGATTCACCCGGAAACCAGTCGTCGGTCTGGAGAAACATCTTTGAACTACCCATGTATGATTGAATTGATTTTTCTTTCATAAGGTAATCAACATCAGTATAAAATAAGTCTAATTAAATTTACTGTTTTACCAGTGCTGGCTCTTCGACCATCCATTCCAAATATCTGATTGTTTTGAAAGGTAAAAACGAATCATACCGGTTGGTAAGGAAATTACATAATAGTTACTACGCAAAAGATATTAATGGTAAAAAGTTCCATCTGAAAGTTAAGGTGGCCTATTGATTGAGATGGAAGTATGTGATTGGGTTTCTATCTCAACTTTTTCTTTTTTCTTAAGTAAAAATATGTTGATAATCAATAATCATTAAAAAAAATTGAAACCTTGAATATCAATTTTCATATTGTTTTTCTAGTATACAAAAAAGATGCATAATATAAATATTCTAATATAAGAAATGCCATTCGGTTTAGAAAACCCAGTTATATTATTTTACTTTTTGAAATTTGTTCATTATTGATATGGGTAATTATTTTTGAAAAAAAACCAAAAATTTTTTTGGCCTAAAATAATAAACCTAAAATTATAATTAGAAATTTTTTTAAAAAAACTAATTGATTATTAACTTATATATTTAGTCTCTAATAAAAGCATTAAAAGAATTATGAAGTTTCATGAAGGCTTTTATAAAAAAATCAATTAATTGTTAGAATGACAAAAAATTATAAAGGATAAGATTATCTATCTAAAAAATGAAATTCATGTGAATCAACATTTAATTATCAAATATGATTTTATCAAGGTTAGGTTTATTTTAGATCTTTTTCAAGGTTTTTGGAAATTTATATTTTATTTAAATAGTGCATGGTTAAGAATATTACAAAACAAGTATTTTTTGAAAAAATATATTTGAAACATAAAGACTTTTGCCAAACAATTAAAGAATTTTTTCAGCAAGAACATTCAGAATTTTACAAAGGTCTCATAAGAAAATACTGGAAAACATATTATGAAAAGCATATTTACTAAGCAGTAATTCTTATAAATATTAATAACTTTGCTTCTTCAGTTATTTAATAATTTATTGCTTTAAAAGTTTGTAAAACAACATTGATTACTTTATGAAACTATAGCTTTGAAAATTTGTAATGTCATGTTTTCAGTTTTTTGTAAAGGATATTTGAATACAATAAATACAAATACAACACTACTAATATTTTAACCTAAAAATAATCTCAAAAAACTGCTAAATACTTTAAAAATCTTTATAACTGTTCAAGAAAAAAGACATAAAGTATAATAGCTCATATTCTTGAAAAAATCTGATCAAAAGAAGATATCTCCAATAAACAAGTAGTATTTACCATCGCAGTATATTAAACAATTTTTGATCTAAATAATGAAAGTATTTTAATAAATAAAATATTAATTAAAAGTAAAGTAGAAAAAAATAAAATGAGTTTTAAAAATCTTTGAAGTATTATAAATTATTAATAATAATATTTTTAAGAAAGAATCAAAAAAGAACTTGGATTTGAAAAAAAAAATTCAAGTAGCAAAGGTAAAGAAATAATTGATTCACCAATTATTACTATAAAAGAATTTCCAAAGGATTATAAAAATATTAAGAAATAATTTAGAACCATTACTAAAAAATATAAAATTAAAAAAAAAATTTCAGCAATAAGCAAAGACTTAAACAAATATAAAATATAAAAAAAAATTATGTAATAATAAAAAATTATAATAAAAAATTATATAATAATAATAATAATTTTATAAATTAATTAAATATTTTAAATTGAATATTATTTAATTATAATATGTAAATACAAATATAGTTTATTACTATTAAAATATATTAAATATTTTTAAAGATAAATATATAAATTTTTATACCAAAGTCTTTTAATAATAACAAAGATCCTCTAGAGATCAATATTCAAAGATCTTTGAAGATTTTTATTTAAAAAATTTTCTTATATATGTCTGTAAAGGCACTTTTAAAAGTTGTTTCACAATAAAAAATATTAATTATATATTAGCAGATATAAAGCATTATCCTATTAACCAGAGATCTTTAAAAACTTAAAAAATTGAGCCAGAGATAGAAAAAAAAAATAATTCGATGTTTTATTTCTAGAGGTCAAAACTAAAAGCATTATAAAATATTTATATAAAATCTGTAATGATAGTATAAAATCAAAGCAATTTTTGAAACAGATTTTGAGAGTGGAATAAAAGCTATTCTTAGTGAATAGCAAGAATATTCACTATATGAATATATAAAAGGTAATTATTTATTTTATCCATTTATAAATTTAAATTTATTTAAAGAAAAATTTAATAAAATCAAATCCAAGCTTATATTTAGAGAAATATAGAATTTATATTATTATATCTTTTCAAAAACCTGCAAAGAAATATATTCAGAATAGAATTTTTCTACTTTAATAATTGTCACTAGTACTGATAAGAAAAAAATATTATTTTATATATCAACTTTTAAGTCTTTATTTTAAAGACATTGTCAAAATTACAATATTTATTAAAATTATTTGTAAAAAACTTTTAACTAATTTACTGTACAAAGCAAAAATAATAATAATAATTTTTTTTTTATGTATTAGTATAATTGTCTAACTAGAAGTTATTCCTAATAATGATATTTACATTTATTTAAGACAATGCTATCCCTTAAATCATAGGATATTTTTTTTATAACATTTAAAATTTTTTAATTAAAAAGTTGCTTTTTATTTATTTTTTCAAATAATCAAAATATTTTTCTAAAAATTTATATAATATTAATTTTAATTATATATTATCTATTGA